TGAATATTTAGAGGTCGCTCAAATCGATTTTCGTATTTTTGCACATTCGAGCCGCGAAATTATTACTGCGCAAAATAGTAAATAACTCCGTTAGTTTTTATTCGATATTATTAAAAATTTAAGGGTTACCTAGTTTTTTAATACCCTCTGAGACAGTGAATTAAACTTTACGGAAAAATTTTTTTTTCGTGAAAAAAAAAATAATTTGTTAATAAAAACGTATCATCTTATAAAATAAACAAAAATTGGAATCGCACTATGATGGTACCGTAAAAAAACTAAGAAAATAACACTTAAATTATTTAGCATACATAAAACCTGCCGAAAGAAATATTTTATTTGATTTATATAAAACATAACCTAATAATAATTAAGTTATTCAAATTTTTCCCATTTTCATACGATTTTATGAATAATTTATATCCGTTTTATTAATTATGACGTATTTTTATAAAATTTCTTTATTTTTGATACCATATTTAATTAATTACACTAAGTAGTTATTAATTTATGTCCTTTTTATAATTAAAATAAAAAAAATCCACTGCTCTACATCTTTTTCTTTGCAATGATTGTTTCTAATGTTAATTTTTTCAACCATTTTTTCTTTTGTTTTAGTAGGTACTCTTTTATCAAAAAATGCCAAACAAATTAGTTCTTCTATTTGCAAATCTATATTTTTGTAAACATGAAGTTCATGAAGTGTTTTCAAATCATTATTGGGCGCGCAAGTTGCATTTGGAGCTAGGAACCAGGCAAATATGTAAACGAAATAATAAAAATACAAATTCTTCGCAATGACTTATTTTCATTGTTAGTGAGTTTAAATTGATCCCGAAATAAGAAAATCTTTAGAGAGTATATAGCTTTGTTCATCCATCTGGTACTTAGACGCTTTTGAATTAAGTAAATAATAATATATATATATGTATATTAGGGTGCTTCAAAAAAATTTTTTTTTGCTCTTACCCTCTCAATTTTTTTATTTAATATAAAAAAAATCCTCACCAAATATGGGCGTTCCAGCTCAACTCTAAGAGGTCGCTGTTTTTATTTTAGTTTCCCATTGAATTAACATGGGAAAAAATTAATTTATGTTTGGAATTTTATACCTCTGTATCAAAGTAACGTATGGCAATGTTTATTGCAGTTTCTTATATAAAATTTAACGCTCTACAAAAAAGGTCCCTTATTATTTTTCGATAAATTGATTTATTATAGAGTTATTCGAGGTAAAAGTTTGATTGATAGAGTTGAGCTGGAACGCCCATATTTGGTGAGGATTTTCTTTATATTAAATAAAAACATTTGAGAGGGTAAGAGCGAAAAAAAATTTTTTTTGAAGCACCCTTATGTATATATATATATATATATATTTATATTTATATAATTTATCAACTACCTGATAGTAGGTCCTACTATCAAAATTTAAGAATAATAATTATTATTGTGGTATGTCAATTTAGCAACATCTAGACAGAATCAAATAATTTTGGTATCAAAATTTGAGAATTGTTGTATGTCAATAATTTTAATAAAATTTAAATTTCTGCTTAAGCCATATCAATGCAGTGAATAATTTTGTAGTTAACGTTATTTTATTTTTGTTGTAAAAAGGACCTAATTCAATAACTACCTAGTGTAATTAATTAAATATGGTATCAAAAATAAAGAAATATTATAAAAATACGTCATAATTAATAAAACGGATATAAATTATTTATAAAATCGTTTGAAAATGGGAAAAATCTAAATTACTTAATTATTTTTAGGTTATATTTTATATAAATCAAATAAAATATTTCTTTCGGCAGGTTTTCTGTATACTAAATAATTTAAGTGTTATTTTCTTAGTTTTTTTACGGTACCATCATAGTGCGATTCCAATTGTTGCTTATTTTATAAGATGATACGTTTTTATAAACAAATTATTTTTTTTTCATGAAAAAAAAATTTTTTTCTGTAAAGTTCAATACATTGTCTCAGAGGGTATTAAAAAACTAGGTAACCCTTAAATTTTTAATAATATCGATTAAAAACTGACGGAGTTATTTACTATTTTGTGCAGTAATAATTTCGCGGCTCGAATGTGCAAAAATACGAAAATTGATTTGAGCGACCTCTAAATATTCATCGAATTTGGATTTTTTGGTATCATTATTTTAGTTTTAATGTAATCTTTATAATTTAGGCCAGTGCGGGTTCATTTTTAAAAAAAGTCTTTTTTTGAATCACCCTAATGTTTATTAAACAAAAAGTGTTATTTTTATACGAATAATGCACTGTTTAAGTTTGGCCACCCGTATAATGATAATTGTACCATAAATGTTAAAAAAACGCGAAAATTCGATGGAAATCAAACTTTGGCCTTGAATAACTCTGGAAGGAATCAATTTATAGAAAAATGATAGGAGACCTTTTTTGTAGAGCGTTAAATTTACTAAGATGATCCTTGACATAAGTTGATTTGATTCAGACGTATAAAATTTCAAAGTTAAAAAAAAAAAATTCCCATGTTATTTAAATGGGAAATAGAAAATTGCGATCCGCGACCTCTAAATCTTCAAATTAAAAGCTAAAATTTTGACGAGGTCTTTGTGTTGACATCCTCTGAAAGAATTTGCCGACCATTTGAAGAAAAAGAAAAAGTCGATTTTTTTGAAACACCCTAATATATATATATATATATATATATGTATATATATATAGTTTGGTATACCAAAACGTCAACCTAAGAGATGTCGCAACCGTTAATACATACACACTTTACATGATTTTAGACCCCCCTGCCCCTGTAAATGCATAAATAAGAGCCCTCCCTTTCTCAACAAAAAAATCAAAAATTGAACCCCCACCCCTTAATGTAATGCTTGAATGCCTCCCAACACAGGCTTTCAAAACGTTCCGGCGCCCCTGCAAAATGTTTTTTCTTAAAATTACAAAAAATCATAGCTCTAAAATTTTCCATATAATTTTGAAATACAAAAATACGTGTCATTTTTTTTCGTATCGTAAAATATTCCGGGCAAATTTAAATTTTGACTGAAAATATGACTTGAAATGACCCATATTATGTACACCCAAAAGTTCCACTTTGACATTTGAATAAAAATAAATGAGATTATGTTTGTATTAATTTCGTCTTATTTTCTAAAAATTATACTATAGGACATTCCATAAAAATCCCAAATCAATGTAATGGTATATATACTATAGTAGGCTGTGCAACGACTTTACTTTATTTATTTGTTTTATAAATTAAATTCAAGTTAGCAAGCGTATGGAACGCCAAAGTATTTTTTAATCGTCAATTAAAAATATCACATTTAAATTTCCGATATTACAAATTCAATTTCTGGTATAACAAATTCAATTTCTGATATCAAAAATTAATTTGCGATATAGAAAATGAATTTTTGATATCACAAATTAATATTCGATATCGCAAATTAATTTCTGATTTTAGAAATTAATTTGCGATATCGAAAATGTTTTAAAAAAATTAACAACTTAAGGCCCACCCTATTGTATATGTTACTTCTCATAATAATAAATAATTTATTATTTTAATTAAATCCAACATATTTTAATCATCATACATTGTATGTCACTTTATGCTACTTATGGCCACTTGCACCGTTTTCTCTAACTGATCAGTTAAATAAGTTATTAGGATTACGATACGAATACATTTTTGACGATGACCAAAACAAGAAAAAACACCTATTCAAGAGGGAATATTTCGACTAAAGACAATTAAACATTTTTTATGGCCACTTGCACCGTTTTCTCTAACTGATCAGTTAAATAAACTGCCAAGTTAAAAGGTAATAGGAGATTAGTGTCCAAAATCTTGCACCGTGATTTTTTCACTATGGTTTAAAATTTAACTAGTGATCTAGGGAATTTGACTAAAAAATGGAAAAGATTGGTGCTAATAACTAACTTCACACTTATTTGTGACGCAAATATATTTTGACGTTAAGAGTTCGATTGTTTATAATCTGTGGTTCGATTCTTTATCATCTGTGGTTCGATTCTATTTCATGTACGACCGATGCAGTTGATGGTAAGAGAGAATAATATGGATACAGAACATGAAAAAAGACGGCTCGCTCCTCAAATTTTTAAAGTTTAATTGTTTCGTCTTTAGTCAAAATATTCCCTCTTGAATTTTATTTTAAAAACTCAAAATTTTTTACATTGAAAATATTCCACGATATAATATATAACACAACCTTTATCGAAAGATCGATTTTTAATGCCTATAGAATGGGGTGAAAGTGGAGGATTTCAGACGAATTTTAGTATTCCTAGTATCGACGTAATCGTTTATGTGTAACTAACAATTAAGAGTAATACTATGCGACAACTGTCAACAACTAGTAAATAAGTCTTTTGTTTTAAAGCAATTTCCATGAAGGGCCGATCAGAAAAAAAATATCATGAACAATTATTTTTTCTCTCCTGGTATAAGTCCAAAATATTTTAAAAAAATATGGAGAACTTAAAGTTTCCTGTAATATTTTTTTAGTATTTCTTTAAATTAAAATTAAATCAGATTTAGTTTAAGAAAGGGTGATCAAGAATTATTAAAAATGAAAGAACTAGTACTATACGTATAAATAATGCTATTTATTCAAAATGTCCCAATGTAAAAGTTGATAAAAATAATAATTTACGTTTCGATCTTTTGCTATTGTTAAGAAATTATATGTAAAAATTGAAAAATAAAATTTAAAACCTTGGTGGGTATTTATGAGAAAATTAAATAAAGACAATACATTGAATTTATATCCTTTTTTGTCTTATTTATAAAAAACCCTTCATTAAATAGCGCTCGCAATAGTTTACCATATCTATCCATCTTTACGCTTATTTATCATGAACTTTCCATCATTTGGCGTTTAGTCCTGAGCCCGCGGGGGCCTTAGTGCCGTCCGCCAGCTCCGGACGGTCGAGATACCACGAAAAGAGAATTAATTTCTATTTTTGTTTAGCCCACATAAATCATATAAGAGAAGTTGCTGGTGTGGATAATGTGGGTCTAGGGGCCGGCTACGACGGGATAAACTAGTAAGTATTTATTTATTCCCGTCCACTACACGCCGTTACGGCTGTCCGTTGTTTTTTGCTCAAGCATCGTTGCCAGATGACTTTTACACAAAATATATAGATATATATATATATAGATATATATATATATATATATATATATATATATATATATATATATATATATATATTAATTTTCACATTAGTCCTATTTAAAACATGTTGTATCACTTTGATACAAAAAAGGTATGTTATGATTTTTTGTAAACCTAGCCATTCAAATAGGCCAAAATTTAAAAAGTTTTAAAAAAAGATTTTTTTAAATTTAAAACTTTCAGAATAGTTAGGGTCCATAAAGAAGCACCTGAAACTTTTTTTTTCTAAATTCCAAAGTCTAAAAATAATTTATAATAACCTTTATCCTACCAAAAAGTACGCCACTGATCGACTAGGAACTTTAGGTTAATCTGGTAGATTTATTATGTTATGGTTGGTAACAGTGTTTCCAAAATCTCTCAAAAAAGTTGATAAACATTGTTTAAATTTAGCTTAATTACAAAAATAACAAAATTAACAATGCAAATTGTCAATTTGGCGTTTTTATTAATTGTTGGTTATTTCATTTTTGTACTGAAGGTAAATTCAAACAAAATCTGCCAACTTTTATGACAATCTAGTGCATTTCTTTTAAATTTTAGGTTATGTTTTCAAATTGTAAATATCTTAACTAAGGGAAGTGCTTTTGGATTTATTTACACAAATTAAATGTTTAAAGTTTAACCTGTGAACTGGTCCCAATTTCATCTGAGTAAACAGATGAAAAAATTAATTTTGTGGTTATGGATTTCAAATTTCAAAGGTACTAAATTTTCTAATCATTGCTTAAGCTAATAGCTGGATCAGTAAATAAATACAGAAGGGTATTAGAGCTTTAAGGGCATAAAACTTTTGTATTTATTGAGTTTTTATTTATTTTTTGGAAGAAAAATTTTTAGTAACAATTTTTTACATCTGGCAACGCATAGCTACTTTGTTGGTTGGTATCTATGTACTCACAAAATACAGGTGTGCAGAGATAAACAAGTGTGTAACCAGTGGCGTATCACAAAAAATATAAAAAACTTATAATCCATATTTTTTCTTTATCTTTGGAAAAATGTTTTTTTAAATATTTTCCTTTATTCCTTAAGTCAAAAGGTATTCAGTATTTTAATATATAACATTAATTACATAACACCCTGTATATATAAATATATATATATATATAACTTCATGTCCTAAGAAACAAGTTATATTACTTATCTGAAATTTAAATGGATTTTGGCTTGTGATGTGGACTTATGGAGTGTAATCATCTAAATACTTTGGTTTCTTTCTTAATCGTTTTTCTGATTCACAAGTTATATCTGGTTTATGATTTTCTGTTGATACTTTTTTACTAGATTTTTACATATGGTGTTTTCCGTTGATTTTCTATTTCACTCGTAGATTCAATTGACCTAGGGATATGTTTATTGTTTGCCATCTGTTCTGCATTTCTGGGAATATCAGGTGGTGTATTGGTAGCTTTGGATATGTGTGTTCACTACATTTATTTTCCAAATCATAAATTATGTCATTATTAAGTCCTCTTTTAGTATTGTATAAATATTTACGATTCCTTCTACATCATTTCCATGTTCGTCTCTTGTCCCCTTGTCCCCCTTGTTCAGTTTTTTTTTTTTAGTCTTTGGCTGATCTATCATAGAATTGTTTTTGTTTTTGATATTTTTGTTGTATTTTTCTTGAAACTTCTTCATGGCTTCCTTTTCTTGGAAATAAATTGTCAGTTAAAGTTGAGTTTTAAGTATTCTGTTTATAAGCAACTGGGCTGGAGAGAACTTAAGACTGGGTAATGGGGTGTTTCTATATTCCATAAGAAATCTGGTAATTGGTCCTGGCTTTTTGCTTTGTTGAGCATTTGTTTAAATATGCCCACGTATCTCTCTGCCAGCGAAAGTTCAAACTTCCATTTGTTTGCGTATTCTTTCAATTGGCTACTCCTGTAGGGATTATTATCGGCGAATATCTCTGGAACCCCAAATCTAGAAAATATTTCAGATAAAAAATGTATTACTTCCTCAGCAGTTTTTCTTTTTACTTCTTTAACTTTAAACCAGTTTGTAAAAGTCTACTACAATTAAATAATTTTTTCCTTGATACTCACAAAAGTCAGAGAACAAATATTGCCATGGTCTTCTTGGCATATATAAACGAGCCAATTTCTTCACTTGAACTATCAGTCTGTATTATTATTGGAATTTTGGGATCAAAAATCTTTTAAGTTGGAGCTTTAATTATCAGTTGCTTCAATTGCTCCAGTTCTTGATTATGTGTGTTGGACCTCCTTTTTAGTTAGATTCCGAAGATTTTTTGTTATATTTGACAAATTTGGGATGAATATAGAAAACAATTTTGAACATACCTAAATTTCTGTCTTTTGGAGGCTCCAGTTCCAAAATTGCTTTTACATTTGATGGATCTGCTTTTATACCTTCAGCTGAAACTATTTAATTTTTTTTAAGTTAAATTTAACATTGTTTTCTGTTGCCCTCCTAAAACTTCTTCCAGTGCTGAATCATGTGGATTATTATCCTTACCAGCTATGATTATGTCATCAAAGTATATCTCTACACCTGGAATGTCTCCAAATATTTCATAAATTTTTTCGTAAGTAATATCTTAAGGGCATCTAATTTTTCCGAAAAAAATAAAAAAAAAAACAGGTTGCTAAGTAATATTTTAACAAGAAGCATGAGTGCTGGTGGCAACAAAAATCCGAGTCGAAGAGGAGGATTTTTGCACCTGCACGAATGCATTTTGTTAAATAATATTACTTAGCATTGTGTTTTTTCGATTTTTTTCACAGGAAAAATTAGATGCCCGAATGGTATTTGACAAGACTATTTCATGAGTAACAGTTAACAATTAAAATATAAATTGCAATTTTTGGTGACAACAGCTGTCAAGTTTTGCCGCGGGTAAACTCGAAAAAACTGCTGACAGGTGCTGTCACACAGTTTTTTCACCTAGAAAGCATTTGTAATTCAAAATTGCGCGTTTCTGATTGGTGGAAATTAAGACGAGGGAAATAGTCGTTGAAAAATCCCTGGGGCCATTGGTATTTTACCTAGCCCTTCAAAATTTGTTTTATGTTTATTATAGATATACTCTTTACCTGTATTAACATTATTGACCTTGGATATAATTTCAAACTTAAAGAGATCTTTCAGGCCCAACAATGGTTCATAACCAGCATCTTATTTTTTTCTTTAAATTTACATTCTAAACTAATTTCACCCACAGTTTTTAACCTATTATTCCCATATGTCAATAATATTACTTTTGTATTTTTAATTCTGTTTTTTACAGATTCGTCAAGTTTATCTGCCCCGGTATCAATTTTAAAACTTACCATGTGACCAGAAATATTAATATTTTCATACCATGACCATCTATCGCTCTTAATCTCATTTATATACAATAACTTATATTCTTCACTTCCATTTGAACCATCCCTTGACACATGCTCTTGAATCAGATTTTTGCCTTCGACAAACTTAAGCAAAATGGTTTCTGCCCTGACAGTCTTTCCAAATGAAGGACATTTTTTAGGAACATGTTCATAACCACAAAATTGACATTTATTCATATAAATTGCATTAATATTTTCTTCCTCACCTTGAATCTTTTTAATATGGTCTTTACTCAATTCAATTGCCTTGCAAAATTCCTGAATATTTTTAACATCAATTGTATTCACTTCTCTAACCAATCTTTGTTTTAATTGTTTATGTTTTAACCACAAGATTATTCTATCTTTTAACATTCTTTCCTCATAAATTTTCTTGCATGTTTCTTCTTCACAACAATATCCACATAATCTAACCTGTGTACGTAATTCAGTGATAAACTCATCAATATTTTGATCTTCTCGTCGTACCATATTATTCAATCTAAATGTTTCCATTGTGTGATTTGTTTTAGGGATAAAATATGTATCAAATGATTGTATAACATTTTCATACTTCCTTCGATCTTCCTCTTTAAATGTATTATACACATCTATACCATTTTCACCTATTGAATTCAACAGTACTGCTTTTTTAATATCATCTTGTTCTTTATGTTTTCCATTTTCTTTCAAAAATATTTCAAACCTTTGCTTCCATTTTAACCAATCTTTTGCCATTGGTGTAGACAATTTAAGATCCATTTTATACCACTTTTTCTTTTAATTGACCTAAATGCTTAGATATGAAGTTTTCATATAAACGTGGTTTATGGGTTTATAACCTCACTATTCTCCCTTCTTCTTTTTATACCTTTGTTTAGTCTATGGCACTGTAGATAATTCACAAAATTTGATTTACATCTAACACCATGTTTTGGTTCAATGAAACAGTATATCAGCTTACTATAGTTTTTGTTTATTTTCTTTTTTAGTAAGTAATGAGAAGCGGAAAAGCCGTCATTTGAACGCAATCTTTGTAGTCGCGGGATATTTAAATTTAACATACAAGACAACTAGTAAATATTTTTGTTTAAAATTAACTTATTTACAAAGTCTAGTTTTTATGATAAATATAAGCGTTAACTATATACTTTAACCATTTTTTAATGAAAACTAATATTAATATATCACGATTTTTGAAACATCTTTATAAATTTGTGTTATCATTAATTAAAGTTTTTTACTATTTCACATTTTTTTTCTGAAATTTTATTTCAAATTTTTTAAAAAAGTATTCTGGTATTCGAACCTCTTAGATAAGAAACATTTAAAGCATTTATTTGTAATATAAATTATTACATTACAACATTTATACCAATAAATTATTCAGGGAAAATTTTTAAAAAAACCCTTGTCAGGTATTGTAACCATTAGACCATGCGGGATATACTTTATATTAAACAAAACTTATTATTATTCCGCGCGCCCCTTTATCTTTGAAATACTTACATTTATTGAAAAAAACAAA